ATATCAATATCTGCGCTCATTCGCTATGCTAACTTGGCAAGATATTGATATCAACTCGGAGATGAAATCATTTAAAATCATATGGTATCCTAAACATATCCTTTACTGTGCCACAACTTTCTCATATGTTATATTTTGGCACAGGCCATCATTTCTTTTCCTTGAATTCATGCTTTTGTTCCTCGTTTTAGAAATGAGTGGAAATCTTTGATTTTCCTTGTGATGTTGATAAAAGTCAATAGTTATCCATTACATTCACAGTTGAAATGTACCCATTGCTAGCCCAGAACCTACCAAAATAGTATTTGCATTTTGCCAATATTGCCCTATGTGCTTTTTCATGAAAATAGTTTTAATCGTATCTTTTCTTCAGTATTTCATACATTACATTTTAATATATTTAAATTGGTTTATATATATATATTATTTACTTAGAAAACAATAAATAAAGAAATTTTTATAAAGACACCAAAAATGGTATATGATCTTTAAATGACTGTTGTGTGAACATCAAAGGTCAAAATTCGCTGAAATTGTATTTTCATAAAGCACAAGTGATTTTTCTTCAATATGATATGCATTATTATCAGATATCTTTGGGGGCTAAAAAGGGCCCTTAATGACACCGGTCCTTTGTTGAGTTTTCTTGCAGAAATCGCCTAATCCCCCCTCCATCATTTTTGTACGATCACCGGGCGTGTTGAAGAAGGATGTGTTATTGTAAATAACTTACAACATACCATTCAAAAATACTGATATGTGGGGTAATTAAATATCTTTCCTAATTGTTAGGTTTAATGTTGTAAAGGACCCAAAATAAATCTGATTTCAATTGAAATAATATTTTCCATTTGTCTGCTAATGTTATCAAATTCAAATGACAATTCCCTATTTTGATTCATATTCAAAAATTATATGAATTTGCATTTTCATGTAAAGATTTGCAAACTTCTTCTCGATATTCAAACAATGGTTCACACAAACGATCTCAAACACGACCATCAACCCTTACTTTTGTTTTTTTATGTGAATCATATACATGTACATACTATATCCAACCTAAATCAAATTACCTATTGTGATTTGGGGAAAATCTGAATTTAAAGTCTGTTAAACTGCTTCAAAGGCAAGCAGTTAAACCTGAAATATAAGAAATCTAAATAATATTGTGCAATAATATATAGAACAAGGCACAGATGTGAACAATATCGTACCTAAAACACAGCAGTGTGACAGTGAAGAATTTAGGACAGAAAATCCAAAATGGCCACCTTAAAATTTACCCAGAATGCCCAAAAACTAATCAGTTCTTAACTTTGATACGTAGAAACATCCCTGAAAATTTCAGATGAATCCATCAAATGGTTTGGCTGGAAACCTGTAGACAAGTCTTGAAAGTGAAGATTTTAGGACAGAAAATCCAAAATGGCCACCTTAAAATTAACCCAGAATGCCCAAAAACTAATCAGTTGTTAACAAAATTGATATGTAGAAACATCCCTGTAAATTTCAAATGAATCCGTCAAATGGTTTGGCTGGAAACCTGTAGACAAGTCTTGAAAGTGAAGATTTTAGGACGGAAAATCCAAAATGGCCACCTTAAATTTTACCCAGAATGCCAAAAAACTAATCAGTTCTTAACTTTGATACGTAGAAACATCCCTGAAAATTTCAGATGAATCCGTCAAATGGTTTGGCTGGAAACCTGTAGACAAATCTTGAAAGTGAAGATTTTAGGACGGAAAATCCAAAATGGCCACCTTAAAATTTACCCAGAATGCCCAAAAACTAATCAGTTCTTAACTTTGATACGTAGAAACATTCCTGAAAATTTCAGATGAATCCGTCAAATGGTTTGGCTGGAAACCTGTAGACAAGTCTTGAAAGTGAAGATTTTAGGACGGAAAATCCAAAATGGCCACCTTAAAATTTACCCAGAATGCCCAAAAACTAATCAGTTCTTAACTTTGATACGTAGAAACATTCCTGAAAATTTCAGATGAATCTGTCAAATGGTTTGGCTGGAAACCTGTAGACAAGCTGAAAAGTGAGACGCCGCCCGCCCGCCGCCCGCCGCCCGCCCACCCGCCCGCTTGCCGCCCGCCCACCCGCCCGCTTGCCGCCCGCCCGCCGCCCGTCAAGCTGACGACAATATCGTACCTTTATTAGGTACAATAAAAAAATATATTCATGTTGCACACGAATGACATTTGTATATGTTGGATAGCTTGTAAATTGGCTCATAAAGACTGTAACCTCTTATATTTTGATGCTTCTCTACCATGTTAATTCTCAAAAAAAATTACATGGCGGACAGACCTCAAATTACAAGAGGGCACAGGCTTATTGGGAAACACTAAATAATCTGATTTATACAAATGTCATTCGAGTGCAATATGAATATATCTGTCTATATATTATGGAACAATGGTCTATAGATTTCTTATTTTTCAGTTTCAACTGCTTGCCTTTGAAGCAGTGTAACAGACAGTACATGCATATCTTCAAATGGAGTACATCGTCCCCTTTTGTGTTATGGTTCTGATTCATTGAAAGTACATGTAATGCTGAAGAAAAACAATGGCACCCCCTCTATAGCAAATCTTACTTCATGTTATATGGTGTGTCATATCTTAGTTTAAAGACAATTCAGCTTTGTAAGACCTTATTCAACAGATTAACACCCGTTTATTAGTAGTTGGTATGGCCACCACTTGCTGCTCAAAGTAGCAGCTAATCTGGATGGATATGATTTCAATAAAGATGTAGAATTGCTCAATACTCCTAGCCGTTTTGAGAGATTTGACATTTAACCCGTAACAAAATAGCAAACAATGTACTGAAGTAGCAAACTTTGAAAAAAGGCAGCTTTTAATATAAAATTTGATTAAATAAAATTTGATGAGTATTACTCAAGAATTAAATTATCTTTCAAATGAGATATGACACAACGTGTAACATTGATTTAAGGAGCTTTTGGTGTAGGGGAGGGGGGGGGGGTGCTGTTGTTTAGTACTCGTCTGATCTGATGCTGGAAGGATGACTTTTTTCATGAGTCTAATTTAATGACTAGATTTGCAAGAAGTTTGTTGATTTATTGGTAAATTACTGGCAGGTATCGTATAGGCATTATAAGTGGCTAACAGAATGGTTATTGGAATTTAATCATATGTGGTATTTTCAACAAGAATGGGAAAACTTTTCCACTATGGGCTGTGAAAGATCTCTAAAAACCCCAGAAAAAGACCTTTAAGACAGATGGTGATAGATAGTCATTGCAGATGACTCCTACAGTTACAGAGGATAATTGGGTGTGATCAGTTGTCATCATATTGAAAGAGATTTGGCTTGAAACCTGTAGACAAGACTTTATAGCTAAAGCTTAAGGGTCAGAAAACTCAAAAACAGCAGACAATAAAAAAGTGGGTATGATACTATATATTTTTGCTCATTTTTTACAAAATTATTTCATAAAACTACTATTTACTATTTAGACAGACAGACTGACAGACAGATGGATAAGTGAGAGAACACAAAAGCTATCTATGTCAAACCACATTGAACAAAGCACAATTTCTACAATAATGATCCATATGTTTACCTGTCTCTCAAGACGGTTAGACTCAAGACCCCTATTAACCTTGTTAAAATACATAGTCAATGAGCTATATCATGGGAGATACATGTTGTGTTATATCATATGAGATACATGTTATGTTATATCATGAGTGACACAAGTTGTGCCATATCATGGGAGATCAATGATGAGTTATATCATGGGAGATATATGTTGTATTATATCATGAGTTACAAAAGTTGTGCCATATCATGGGAGATCAATGTTGAGTTATATCATGGGAGATGCATGTTGTGTTATATCATATGAGAAACATGTTGTGTTATATCATGAGTGACACAAGTTGTACCATATCATGGGAGATCAATGATGAGTTATATCATGGGAGATACATGTTATGTTATATCATGAGTGACACAAGTTGTGCCATACTATGGGAGATCAATGATGAGTTATATCATGGGAGATACATGTTGTGTTATATCATGAGTGACACAAGTTGTGCCATACCATGGGAGATCAATGATGAGTTAGTTATATCATGGGAGATGCATGTTGTGTTATATCATGAGTGACACAAGTTGTGCCATACCATGGGAGATCATGGGAGATACATATTTGTTATATCACAGAAATAATATAATCAGATATGTAATATATCATACCTGGGAAACATCAAATCCCTGCCCAAAAGTATAGGATCCTGCCAGGCCATTTTGTGTCATATCATGAGTGACACAAGTTGTGTCCTATCACGGAGATCGAGATCAATGTTGATTTATATCATGGGAGATACATGTTGTGTTATATCATGATTGACACAAGTTGTACCATATTATTATATTATTATTATAGTTGAGTTATATCATATGAGATACATGTTGTGTTATATCATGAGTGACACATGTTGTACCATATCATAGGAGATACATATGTGTTATATCACAGAAATAATATATTGATTAGATGTTGTACTATATCATACTAAATTCCTGCCCAAAAGTATAGGATCCTGCCAGGCCATTTTGTGTTATATCATGAGTGACACGAGTTGTGTCCTATCACTGAGATCAATGTTATGTTATATCATGGGAGATACATGTTGTTTCATATCATGAGTGTCACATGTTGTACCATATCATAGGAGATACATATGTGTTATATCACAGAAATAATATATTGATTAGATGTTGTACTATATCATACTAAATTCCTGCCCAAAGGTATAGAATCCTGCCAGGCCATTTTGTGTCATATCATGAGTGACACGAGTTGTGTCCTATCACTGAGATCAATGTTGAGTTATATCATATGAGATACATGTTGTTTCATATCATGAGTGTCACATGTTGTACCATATCATGGGAGATACATATGTGTTATAACACAGAAATAATATGATCAGATGTGTAATATATCATACCTGGGAAACATCAAATCCCTGTCCAAAAGTATAGGATCCTGCCAGGCCAAGTGTGTCACCTTCATCATCAAAGGCATTATGATTTAGCAGTTCATCTACAATGTTTACAGTATCAGTTGTTATCTTACTTTTACATCTAATTTCTTTTTTTATACTTGTAAATCATTTTATTTAACCTAGAGGAATACTGTTATTGTAACTTCTTGGGGTTCATCTCTCTAGGGGTCATAATACAAAAATAGAAAAACAGCAACTCCACGAAGTAGAAAATCCCACGAACAAAACACATTTTGATTATAAGTGGCCATCTTGAAAATTGGGTTTACGAAAAAGACCGACCCCACCGACCACCGACCGGTCGGTGTTTTCCACTGGTAGCCTCAAAACAGGGTTTGAAGAAAATGTGTAAAAGACCGACCATATTTGTAGAATAATACGATTTTGAATGTCAATCGTAGGCAACGTTTTTTATCGATTTTGTTCCTTTCAACGAATCCTAATTTTTTAATGAAATCTAACGTACAATTTCGAAATAAAAATGATTTATTGTCATAGCCTACTGAATTCTGAACACGATGTAATGTTACGTGCGTTCTCTTATCGGGATTAAAAGTAACTAACCATTTCAGTACACCATGATTAGAAAGTTTTTTTGTCATATTGAATGTAGTTTTTACCAGTTGAGGTTGAACAACTGAGAAATCAAACATTACGTTACGACGTGAATACCGACAATGTTACGTGTGTTCATGGACCTATATCCTATATATATAGGTCCATGGTGTGTTTTTGTTAAGTGCGTTTCATATTAATGAACTTAATGCAATGTTACGTACATATACGTGCGTTTTCTCATCATAATCCAAAGTTACTAACCAGAATAAAATTGGTCTTCTAACAACTGAGACATCACTTAAAAATAAGACATTACACACCACGATGATGTTACGTTTTTCATCGTAAATTTGAAATGATTAAATACATTTTTAAATCACGACCTTGTAAAGGTAGTTATTAGGTACTATAGTCATTGGATTCCCAGTTTTAGTTTTTCTTCTAATTTTGCATCTTTTATCTTCATGTAAAAGACCGACAGTCGACCGACCACGTGTACCCAACTGTGGAGAGTGACTGGTCGGTGGTCGGTAGTCGGCGGTCGGTGTTTTTCGTAAACCCTTGAAAATTCCTTCTTGAGCAGAGCTTGTTTGTCCCTAGGTATCAAAATATAAAATGTAAACCATATCAATAAATTAGCATTTGACTTATCAAAGATTACATTCCCTTTTTATGAAAAATGGCAGCCATTTTGAAATTCAGCCACTATTTTAAAAATCTTTATCGAACAGAGCTACTATGTCTCCAGGCATCAGCATATAAAATTTGAACAAAATCCATGCTATTTGAGTTATCAAAGATTACATTTTTTATGAAAAATGGTAGCCATTCTAAAATTCAGCTACCATCTTAAAAACTCTTTGTCAAACAGAGGTACTGTGTCTCTAGGCATCATCATATAAAATTTGAACTGAATCCGTTCACTGGTATTTGAGTTATCAAAGTTTAAGTTTTTTACGAAAAATTACCACCATTTTGATATTTAGCAGCCATTCTAAAAATCTCTTCTTCAGTGTAGCTGACCTTTGTTCCTAGGCAACAGCATAAAATTTGAATCAAATCTGTTCACTGGTATTTGAGTCATCAAATATTACGTTTTTTTTTCATGAAAAATGATGGCCATTTTTATATCCAGCCGCTATCTTGAAAATTCTTTCTTGAACAAATCTTCTTTTTCTCTGGGCATCATTATATAAAATTTGAACCAAATCCATTCACTGGTATTTTAGCTTTCAAAGATTACATTTTTTTTACGAGAAATGGCTGCCATTTTGATATTTTGCAGCCATTTTGAAATTCTCTTCTTCGTCATAGCTCTTTTGTCTTTAGGCATCAGCATATAAAATTTGAACCAAATCCGTAAATAAGTATTAGAGTTATCAAAGATTTTTTTACGAAATATAGCGGCCATTTTAAAATTCAGCCGCCATCTTGGAAATTCTTTCTTGAACAAATCTACTTTGTCCCTAGGCATCATCATATAAAATCTGAACCAATCTGACTTTTTATTTAAGTCCAAACTATACGCTCATAATTTGTGTTTGTGGTCATCCACAAACAGGGCAACACTTCTTTTTTCATTGCACCCTTTTGACACATGCTAGGGATGAATTCAATCAATACCTGAAAAACCTGATGGCTGAAGTATTTGACAGGCAAATCTCACAGCATAAATATCTTTCAGCTCTGAAATATGGCTCAATAGATATCTCAAATCAAATTTAAATCAAAAATGATGACCAGACTAGCTTCCTTTATATAAGCCAATTCATAATTTTCCCTCCTGAAACATTTTTTATTTCTATAAACTGTTACCCACGCCAAGCACCCCCCACCCTTACCAAAACCCCTAAACTACTGTTAACACTGCTCCTTATATTGTATTCAAAACCACATCAATGTCTTCTATAATGCCATGCATGCATAAGGATAATTGATTAATAAATAAATAATAAAAAAGAAAAAACCAAATCCGTCAACTAATATTATTAGTTATCAAAGATTATATATCATATATATATCAAATCCTTCAACCGGTATTTGAGTTATCGCCCGGACAAACAGAGGGACAGACGGACAGACAGCTTTCCTATATTCCACTCGAACGAACTTTGTTTGGTGGGATAATATGTTTTTACCAGATACATACCGGAAGAGCCTGACAACGGTAATGTCAGATACCGTTGTCACAAATGGCAGACATAACGGTCGCTTCAATTAGATTTTCATGAATTGCATGTTTAATAGAGCACCTAGACTAAATTCCTTTGGAACAACAATCAATCAAAGTGTCTTAATACTCATTGTACACTTAATAATGTTCTACCATGAAAATAAAGTCTTTCATTTAACCGATCAAAATGAGATACTGGACAACGGACACTGTAATAACCATATGCCATTGTCTTTCTAAATTACTCAAATTCAGATTCCGTTGTCATTGACGATATGGGAGACACCATATTGTTGCAATTCACGACCCAATTTGATCGAAATTAGGATTTCATATAAAACATCATCACAAGAGCTTAATACATACACAGAATTAGCGATGATAAATCCCATGAAATGAGAACCTAGCCTTGCCCAAGTCGGTATTTTTTTACTTATCTGATCTTGAATTATTACAGCCTTGTACAATCCGATACATCTCCGCTGTTATTATGCTGAAATATTAAACGGTTTCGAGATTTCCATAATACCTACGCCATCAGGGATATCGCGAAACCTTATTGATTGACAGATATCGCGTGGACACGACGTGTGACTTCAGGCTGGATGACCAATCAAAACGTTATTAGGTTGAGCTGCGTAAACAAAACAAACTTCCCATCTAAGACTTGAAATCCCGGGCTTGAAATTCAATGATCTGATCGAGTGTTTCTTTAGAGTTACAATATATTATGTAATTAAATGTACATTGGAAGGTAAGAGTCATTAATATAACTTAGTCATGCGATTCAATGTTGATTTAAAACTGATTTCGCGATGAAAATGCACGAAGACCTAGTCCAATGTAGCGGGTCATGTTGTCATCGATTGGTGATTGAATTTCAGCGTACATGTTCAGCGATCGTTTCAACGTTTATTGTTGAAATCTTCTCACCTTTGGTTATCCAATCGATGCCCCGGCATCCACTAATCTCTCATTGATATTTATCTGATAAAATATTTGTATTTTCATGATGAATTCGTGCTCAGATTCGTACAAGATTTGTTCGTGAAAAGTCCAGGTGAAAAGTGTACTTGTTTTTGACCTTGCATAATAATGAGCTAACGCTACAGGGCCGTCGTTGATTTGTCAAATTTTACCGACATCAACAAACTGTCGGAAAAGCACTTGGCTTTCTCTTCGGTACAAGGCGGTCATAATAGAAATCAAGATAAGTAAAAGAGACTGACTTGGGCAAGGCTAATGAGAACCAGGTGATTAAACAACTGAAGCGATGGCTATGTCTGCATTTGTGACAACGGTATCTGACTTTACTGTTGTCAGGCTATTCTGGTGTGAGATAGATCTTGTGATTGTACTCATACACCTTCCAAATGCTTTATATGTCTATTATCAGCAAATCATTTACCTAATGTAGGTGTTCAGTATTTGTTCAGAGATTTACCCAGAACTATACAACTCTCACACTTATCACATCAGATAATATCAATTTGGAAATTTCTTTAAATTACACATCTTTGATATTTTATCTGGGGAATACTCAGATCGAACACATCACATTAACATTTAACCATATTAAGCCCAGTATAAAAAGTAAATAGGTCACACCATAGAAAAATTTTCAAGATGACCACCAGAAAACAACATGGCCACCCAAAAGTTCATCAGTTCTAGAACTTGATATTCTCTATCATGTGTGCAAAGGAGTGGTATCGATATGGAGAACTGAATTGAACAATGTTTTTCTCTTAAACCAATCATTGAAAACATTCTGTAAAAAACATGGTATTTTATGTGATGTTGACTGATTGGCAACAATTTAATGCGAAAATTATTTAGAAATATTTTATATAACTGTTTTTGTTAACATTTTTTGTTTTTCTAGTGCAATTGTTTTTGCTACTTTTTACCAATTATTGAGAATGAAATAAAATGTCTTTCCAAATCTTGTTGGAACAAAATAGCATATACAACATGTTTTTAGACCTCTCAATATTATAGTTTCAGTTTAGATTTTATTTCTACCCACACCTGTGAGTATAAATACATACTGTATAACATGAAATATTGCCGTGGATATAAAGTTGCTGATTGCCGAATGTAAAACAGAAACGGCAACATAAAATTCGGAAATATAATTAAGTAATTGAAGATCGATCTTAATGGGCGATAATATGGTAGTTGTCTAACGTGCGTCAACCTACTGTAATAGGGTAATTTTCGAACGAGTATCAACGATAAAATCGAAGCTTTATTCCCCAGCATAAAATTACAATAACAATAAAAAGTTAATAATAAAAATGTTGC